AGGGGGAGTGGCTGGGAGCCCCGGCCCCCACTTCGCCCGGCTTTTGCACATGACCACAGGGTTCTCAGCGCCAATCCCGGCCCTGCCTCCCAGTCGCTCCTCCACCCCCGCCAGGTTTCCATCCGGTGCCCAGCCAGAAATTCAGAAAATACCGGACATTGCACATGTCTGGTATTTTCTGAAATTTTCTACCGGACAGAGGGCGCAAATACCAGACTAGAAAACTGGACACCTGGCAACCCTATTTAAGGCCCCTTTACAGAGTGGTGTAAAGGGACCTTAGTATAAATAAAAATGGGACCCTAAAGGCTTAACTTAGCAAAATAGTTAAGGCATCTGAATAACTCCTCCCTGTGCCTGGACCCATAGGTTACCAGATTTACAGATAGCTGCAACTGCGAGATAGCAGGGGGGCAGAGAAGTGTACTGCTAGTGAAAAATCCCCTTGCAGTGTGATTAATTTGCAGCAGAATGTGTGTCCTGTGGCACTGCTATGTGGACAGTTGCAGAACTACATTCTATTAGCAATGAACCCACAGGGAGATTGTTTAGAAAGCATTGGAGGCGGATACCTCCCTCTCTCTGGAAGAGAACTGAATCTGTCTCCCTCAAGTTCTCACCGTACTTTGGTGCTGCCTTGTGCAGACCTTTAAGGGGAGAGCTTTTGGTAAACATGTGTTTAACTTTAGGATACCCCATTGGTTTCCCCTTTTGTCATCTGGAGCAATTGCTTGAGGAGCCATACGACTCTAAATGCACCATAGTATGGCAGGCCTGATAACGAGAAGTGCCCCTGCAAGGCAAGCAGCAATACACTTCCAGTTGAACAGCTGACGATAACAGGCTGACATTACCCAGAAGAACTAGAACGGCTGACAAATGATGATGCTCAGTGCTAAGTAACATTTAATCATCATTTCTCATTATTAAGGAAGGCAGGAGTGCAGAGGAAAAGGAATGTATGTTTGCCTGCAGTCATAACAAGCAATGTCCTTGGCAAAAATTCCAGACAGCACAGAAATCGCACCTGATAGTCACTCTAAAACCCCCTTTGGAGAAACTAACATTCCTTTTGAAATAACTATAAATTATACACCGATCGTGATTTGATAAATGTGGGCTATTCTGTCTTTTTTTCTGTTTCTCCAATCTGTAGCCTCTTTATATTTCTCAGTATTTGGTCTCCCTCCCTGGCTGTATAAGATAATGTGCTGTGACATACACTCACCTCCTTTGCTGCCCATATTGACGCAGATGGTAGGTCGCCATCTCCCTGAATGCATATCTTTATAATGTGATTACTCCACAGTTTAGAATATGGAGACAGAATTGCTATGGGTTACAAATGAGTTACTGTGGCTGTGGGGATCTTGGTGATGTGACATTTACTGCTTTTAAATCTTTCATCTGC